AAATTCATCTGTGTTGTGCCATACAGAGGATTTTATTCTTCTCAAGTGCTTTGGGTATATATTCATGTTAAGTTACTTTTGCTGTGAAATAATTTCTTATTGTTGAGCAATGCAAAGTCTCAGGAAAAAAAAATACTTAGCAATCCTGCAATCTTGTTTTGCAAGCTGAAAAGTACTTTCATCAAATTGCTCACGAGTTACCTCAGTAGTAGTTGTCAATGRTGTTTGTACTGGTGATATTTAACTGGAGAAAAAAAATACTCAAACAAAAAACCTTAGGGAAAATTACTCTTTTCCTTACTCTTCTAATTGGACAATTTTATGTGAACTAATATTTGTCGTTGCATAGGACTTTCAAGGGAGCCAATTACATATTTCCCCCCATCAATCTTGCAGTGTTGCAGGCTTTTTCTGAGGCCTTTTATAGCCTACTTGTAAATATTGACATAGGGTTTGCTTTTTGGGAGACAGCTTTTATAGTCCAWCTATAATTATGACTGTTACTTCTGCTGATAGTCTGACAGAAGAAGAAACACTAAAAGAAAAGTTGCAAATGAATATGCTCCAAAGAAGAGTACTGTCTGAGACATTAATCTAGCAGAGTAACCATGGTGCAAGGCCCTTATTTTGCTAATTTTTATTTTTCTTTTACAAACCTGTAGGAAACTGTTGATACTAAATATGACGAATAGGAATTTTTTCCAAATCCCTCTATTGATAACCTGTAGCAATTGTAAGGTCAAGTTGTATGCAAGCTTAGTGATACCCACAGGGTCTATGTGTGTTTCTTAGCACTTACTACTGAAAAGATAAAAATGCAATTTTATGCTGTTTGTTCTGTATGCTTCAATGTATTTGTGTTTCCTTAATGCAGTGAATGACAATGTGCCCAGCATGTTCTTCATGCATGTCTTCAGTCCTTCTATACGCCCTTCCTGCTTCTCTCCCCAGCACAGATCATGGGTTTCAGCTGTGTGCAGTTTGCTACATACCCCTGCAAACAGAAGGTCCAAAAGAGCTTCTGCATTTCAGAATAGAAAGTAGAGAAGTTTGTGGATGTTAGGGATGTTAGGGATGCTGTGGTTTGTTTGGACCAGTCCCTAGGATCACTTTGCTTCTGGCCCATCAGACTGGGCGCTTGGGGAGAGCAGTTCTCCTTCTCCCATGTGTGGAACTGCTGATAGTGATCCTCAGTTCAGTGCCTCCACATTTAAATTCTTCTAAATCATGAAATTCTTTAAAGATAGTGGCAAAAACAATGCTAAGGAACATGTGGTTCTTTTTTTCTGTCACCAACACAAATGAAAAACAGGACTTTTCTCCTTTCCTTTTTTTTTAGGAAGAAWAAAAAAGTGTATCTTAAGCTCTTTAATGAAAGATGAGAGACAAAAGGGGATAATGGCTATTCTTTTATTTGGCTATATGAAAATGTATATATAATATGTTGTATATAACAACAGTTTTACAAGTAGCTGGMTTACTTGTTTTGGATGAGTTCAAATTTAGCAGTCTATGAGAAAAAAAGATTCTGATTACAARCTCAGTAACTACGAATTTTACTTAACCTGTCAGCACCTTCTGTTCCAATTTTGCAATTGGGATCTGAGGTCATGATTTGCTTTATTTTCACCTTTAAGCTCTTGTTTCAGTACAAAAACTTTTTAGAATGCATTACTATTCAGTACTATTTGGTGTTCTTAAATTAAGAATAGCCTAGAAGTCTAGCTCCAAGTTGATTCTCTAGTGAAGTGGAGCCTCTAGAGTATGAATATGGAGAAGCACAGAGAACTTTGTCAGTCTCCTTGAATTATTGATGAATTTTTTTTCTCAAGTAAAATGAATGAAAGAAAGAACATGTTACTACTATTATTCAAGATTATTTATTAACTTTTTTTTTYCTATTTCAGAAAATCCCCATGTAGTGGTAGGGTAGCTGATAGGTGGGACTACATCCCTGGGTATTCTGATTTTGAGGAGGATTCTGATTGTGAGGGTGACAAAGCACTGGAACAGGCTGCCCAGAGAGGTTGTGGAGTCWCCTTCTTTGGAGATCTTTAAARACCCGCTTGGATGCAGCCCTGTGCCACGTGCTCTAGGTGACCCTGCRTGTGCAGGGGGGTTGGACTCRATGACCTCTGAGGTCCCTTCCAACCTTGGGCATTCTATGATTCTATGATTTGGTGAAAAACAACTGCTCTGGGTTAGATGAGTAAGAAAAATAAATYGGGGAAAACAAAACCAAAGTAAATTTCCTTCATACAACTCGCAGGCAAGAATACCCTAAGTTCAAGGGGAGACCAGTCAGCTGCAACCTCTTAACAGCKAGGTACAGCTTTTATGTCAAAGCTATGTCTAACCAGCACAGAAAAAATCTAAAATAATAAAGTAAAATATTATAAAAAATTATAAATTAACTTGGGCTCTATTTTATCAGTAATAAAGAGCAGTGTAAGCAAACTGACTGTTTTCTTTTAAATTGGCATTTCACTATAATGCGTCTGCTATGAAACATCCAAGATTTTTAGCCTGTGTAGGCGAAGCTTTGCCAACTTACCCTATGCTAATGACCTAGTCCAAAATACACTGTGCGCAGGCTGAGGAAATAGGAGAGGGTGGGAAGAAAAAATCACCGAGCGCTTTGAAGAATGACTTATGAACCGAAATCAAGCAAACAATTCCTTCCTTGCTGCTACCATTCAAACATGAAGGAAGGCAAAGTACATTTGCTATTCAAGTAGAAGAGCTCCTGCAGCACAAGATTTGACTGATAAAGTTTAGCACATTCATCATGGGGTTTAGGCCAGTGAATTACTTATCTCATGCTTTATATGCATGAATCAATTTACGGGGATAGGCAAAGCATCTGACTTGGAACTTTTTTTCTTTTTTCTTTCTTTTTCTTTCTTAAAGATTCTTTTAGGTATCACTTTCAAAAAGTCAGTGTCATGCAGTGGTCAGAAAACGGACAGAGAGGAAAAACGATGCCTGACTTTGTTGATAACATGCCCTGCTAACCAGGTCTTACACTTCCTATTTCTATACTTAAATGTACCCATCTGTAAAACTGTCATAATCTCCTTTTCACTTGAAAGTTGTGAAAAACAAATTCRTAAAACTGTTTCTTAAACCTTCTGAACTCTCTTTTCAAGCAAATAATCCTACTTTCCCATTTATGGGGGAAAAAAAATCCTAGTTAGCTTCAATTCTTTAATAAAGCATTTAAGTAAACAAAATCTAACTTACAGGCCACTGCAAACACGTCACTTCATAATTTTTCTTTTTCAGTCTACAAGAATATTTTGCAGTTTCAGTGTTTAAATAATGTACCCGCACTATGATGAATCTCTCTGTTGTCAAATGATGTACAACTATCTGATAAAATTTTCAGAGATTTTGACTTTTGACTAAAAATTCATTTTAGTAAGTCTGTGATATTGGTATAGACACCACTGCCTGGATTCATCACTCTGATTCCGTTATACTGAATGCAGCAAAGTAGGCAATCTGGGACACAACTCACTCGACTTGCTTCAGATATCCACTGTAAGATGAGGCAGATTGTCCCCCAAGAGTGTCAGTTTGTTTCCTAAGAGGTCTAGGGTTCACGTGTAGGCATCTGTATTTAAAATGCCAAAGACTGTGAGATTCATCCTGATCCTGAGCATGCAGTAAGCCAAGAGAATTCTAATCCTTTTCTTTTTTATTGCAAGCATTTTTTTCACCAGTGGTTTTTTTTTTTTTTTTTTTTTTTTTTTTTTTTTTTTTCCTCTCCACTCTAAGATACCTGGAAATACAAGTTCTTCTCACATGATTTCCAAGAGGTAGTGTTGTGGATATCAAAGTGCCAATAAATTCTAATGGCAAAGATATTCAGACATATTTTCATAGTAGCGGTGGTGGAGAAGTGTCATTATTCCTTAGAATAATAGCTGTGTTCTTACTGTTTGTATTTATTGGGAAGGCACCTTAGGGTTCCTGGACGGAATTTGGAGTCTCCTTTGCCCGTAACTGTGGAACTGATAAAATACAGAGAATCCCTATCCCAGTAATTCTTGCCTATTATTTATGAAGAAGTTGCATCAAGAGAAAGAGCAGTCAAGAGAAAAGGTGATTTGAGAGACAAATGACAGTAAGCACGTGCCTGCTTGGAATAACCTTGCTGAATTTKGTGTTCTTTATTAGATATATAATCTACTTGCTTGGACTTCAGGGTTGTTGAGCTTTTTTGTTTTATTTTTAATTTAGAGAACAACTTCATTTCCTTTTCCCAATCTTTTTCTTCACTTTTCTTGTAAGATGAGATACTATTTTCCTGATTTTTAAAATTCATTTAAGTATAACAAAGTTTGTTGTTCTTATTAAAGCCTTTGGGGGGCATTGGTGTCTTGAATATATAACTGTATTTGTAAAAATAGTGGCTTTGCACCCACCTTGCTTTTGAGTACTGGGAATCTCTGGCATACTGGATTGCACAATTGTATTGTGGTTTTAGCTTTGTTTTGTAACTTATTTAAAATACAGAGGGGAGGTCAGKATGTAGGTGAGTGAAGTTATTGTCAGATACAACAATGTCACACCTGTTGTAAAGCTAAAGATTTTGAGAAGAGCTTGAAATATTTTKGGAACAGAGTATGGAGAAGGTCAAACTGAACAGGAACCAAAAGTTGGATGTTGTGGTGCTTAAAGCCTTTTGTATCCCATTCAGTGACTGTTTTGTAGSAATACAAAACTGAATGAAATATCTCCTCAGAAAATTCAGCCTGAAATATGTTATATAAGCAGTATAGGCTGAAGGAGACAATATTACGGGGCTGTTTCCCAATCACTGCTCTGTAATGTAGGCAGACTATTTGGTATAGAACTGTGATGAAATTAAAATGCAATTAATGTATTCCTGGTCATCYAGTCCTGCTTTCTTTCCAGGCAGGCAAAGGCACTTACAGCACAATTCTTTGGGAAAACCCCCCAATGCAGYCCCATTAGCAGCAAGGGAATTTGTTTGCTGTCATTGCCAGGTGCCTCAACCGCCTAGGGRACACAGTGTAGAAAGAAGCAGGTAGGCAGAGTACATTTCAGCAAGGGATCTGGGGTCTCATCCTGCAGATATTCCAAATGCGTTAGATGCAGGAAGGGACTAACATTTTCTCTCTCTTAACCTAAGATTCCAGTCTGCAAGAGAATCTCCTGAGGAACGAGCCCATTTCCCAGCTGTACTGTGACTCACCTGCATTTCTGCTTCATCAGGGCAAGACGTCACTGGCTCTGGTTCCCCTCTGACACCTGTGTCTGTGATCATACATTTCGTCTTGGTGAGTCTAATGCCTTCTCCTCCTACTCTTTTCTAGTCTATCACCTTTCAACACTGCCTTGGTGGATGGCCATCTGGTTCYAAGGCTCCTTCCATTTCTGTGTCTGATATAAAGGCTCTGGAAGCAGATGACTGTATCTCAGATGCCTGCCTCCATTTCCTCTTGATAACTTACTCTTTTCCTGCAGGCTAAAGGCAGGTAAAATGTCTTTKTAATCTGTTGTAGATTTCACCTCTTCATGCTGCTTGTTTTCATCTTGGTAGATGATCAAGTCACATGTTGTATTTGCTGATAATGTGTTAACACATGTTGTATATATTAAATTGTGTTTCAGATTCAAATGCCCTTYCATTTCCCCTTTTACTCTGCCAAGGGTGTTCTCCAAATGAAAGTCTTCCCACCAGTCTGTTAAATGTATTTGTTTTCAGTTGTTTCTTGTGGAAGCAACACCAAAGACTACTAAGTATCATTCCATGGCAGAGTACCCCAGGATTTTCTTTAGCTCTGATCTGTTCAAACTAAATGTAGATTATCTTCTTTGATACCTCTATTTCAGTTTTCTTCTGGACCAATATGCAAGTAGGGGAAGAAGCCTATTTAGAGGAAGAAATGTTAAAGAATTATCTTCTCTAAATACATGACTGGGTGAGCATAAAGATATTATTGTTATAGGTGTTGCTCTATTCTTTAAAATAGTGAAATTCTACTTGTCAGCAAGGGCAGGGAGCTAATTCCTGAGTCTGATGCTACAGAGGAAATCAGGGACTGATCAGRACAAAGGAAATACGATTGTTTCTGATGCAGCTTGTTTCCATACAAGTTTCATGAAAGATTAATTTTAGAATGATTCTTCCAACRGCTGATGCCCTCACCCCCACAGGAAGGGAAATGATGGCAACTTGCTCTGAAYGAAAGTACGTCCTCAGCACAGCACTTTGGTGCTTTATTACCCATGAAGAGGGACTTTAAAATAGAGAATGTGTGGATGTAGCTGCTCTGAASGTCTGACTTTTCACTGTGACCTGACTGAAAGGATGCCCTCTCCACACTGATGCTAATTTCCATTGAGGTTCTCTTTGCCTTTCTCTTCTGGTTAGTTCATATTGTTTGAGTAAATGACCACTCCCTGTAGTCATGCATGCTTACAAATGGCTGAGACCTGATTTTCTTTGCAGTTCATGTTATTTAGTAAACTCTGTGCAATGGCTTATACAGAAGCAGAAAAGTGATTGGTTGATGCAGGTTTATAGAGAGCTCTGAATCATTTTATCTTCCACAAGAGGAGCTTCCCCACTGTCACACTATAAATAGTCCTTAACAATAAAATAACCACAGGGTATCTCAAGTATGCATTCTTTAGATAAAGGCCTCATTAGGTTAATGTAAGATCACTGGCCTTAGCCTGCATTTTATTTTATATAATGAGTTCCTTTTTATACAATAAAGCTTATGAAAGGAGAAATCTTGGCTCATAGGGAAGAGATGGATGAATATAATAAGGCTTCYGTTGGAGGGATTTATGATGTATATTTAGCATTGCAGACAACATAGTAAATCACTGCCACGGCCAACGAGAAAGATACATTAGTTGCCATTTGTTTTTTACCAGCCTATCTAGGTCCTTTTCAGATGTCATTCTAAAGATTTATAAATCAATCTCATTTCATGTTATTAAAAAGTCTATTACACATTATAATGTAGCTCTGAAACATGGCAAATTATTTCACTTTCATTGTTGTTGGTACCATTAGTATCTCCTCCCTACTTCATGTTGTTTAAACCTAAGTAGAAGCACTAGTTGCCAGTATTCTGAAAACAGCACAGTAGCAGGAAATTCAGATAAAATGTCAGAGTCAAAAGTTTTCTGCAGTTTCATAGGACATCCTTGTAGAGTGATGTTGCTGTTGTTTGGTTAGATCCTGCTGTTCAGCTTAAAAGACTGAGAAGAAATTATTCATTTGGAAAAAGCTTAGAAGAACTGACATAATACTGTGCTGTATGAACCACTTCCATAATAGGTGTGGCAATATCTGTATCACATGCAATTAGAATTTCTTTTGAAACCTCATAGTAAGGTCTATGGATGCTTCAGTTAAAATCAGTAGCCTTAAATATGTCCCAATATGTTTAATAATGCTTGTACAGTGCCCAGTATAATTAAATCCTAAAAAAATTGTTAGGATTTTTATAAAGGGTAGGAAGAGAGCTCCATCTCAAAGAAGGGAAATGACATTTAGATTTGAGTGGCTATTCATAAACTTAAGTTTTTCGCTTTTCATTAGCTCCCTAGATCAAGAATAGATATGCTTAACATGAGGAAATTTGTATCTTGGTGAAAAATGAACGAATAAAAAACCTTGAAAATTCATCTGAAGTTTATGTGTGTCTGAAAAAAAAAAAACTCTTGGAACCATGGAGGACTGGAATATCAGTGACAGCCAGGAAGGAATACAGAGGTGTTAGAGGAACGGGGGCTGAACTGACGTGATGGAAAACTGATAAATGATTTTTTTTTTTTTTTTTGGTAGCTCTCATAAATAAAAAGTGGAGAGCACCATCACTATCAGCTTTGCAGTTTCTTCAGTAATAATAATTTGCTTGATATTTTGTAGTTCTCATGGGATCTCTCTCTCAGGTCATGGCTATATTTTCAGCTGGGTAATAAGAGGCAATTTCTATTATTTCAGTATGCTGTCTTCAGTTATTTTCCAACTTGTTTGAGCATGATATGCCTTATTTTCTTAAGATACTACTCATTGGAATTACTTTTTTACACTTTTTTTTTTTTTTTTGGCTCCCTATCAGTGAGCTTATCCTGATCCTTTTCCCACTGATTACTTTCCTATCTGTGTTTCGTGGTTCTCCTTTTGGGTCATTTTAATCATATCTCAGCCAACTATTTGTGTGATGACTGTATATATCAAACTACAGGAAATTGCTTGAATGAGGACCACAAAATAGAGTTTTTAATAAACAATTTAGCATTCTGAGTAACATTTTTCTAGCCCTGAAATATTACGAATTACTGCAATTTGAGGGGAAAAAAATATTTTGTTTCATTCCTGCTTATTTTACATAGAACTTAGTATTTCAGCATGCAAGTTAAGTCYGTGTTCATTGTCAAAGAAAAATTTTAAATGTCTGCCAAAGCTTTACACTTCACAAGAAATTTGCCACTGTGCTGAAGAAACTTCAGGGCAACAGTTGCTGTAAGAACAGATTTATTTGTCTGCTTTCCTGCCAGCGAGTCAAGAAATGGGTGCTTCTGAAGTGTGGCTGTTGGGGAGCTGCTGGTGCTTTTCTCTGGCAGGAGCAGGCTGCCCAACAAGCATCTCTGTGGAAGCGCAGCAGAGCCACTCGTCTTCTGCCTGTCAGCAAGGGCAGCTGGCAAGAGTCCCTAGCTGTGCTCGTCTGTGTGAGCTGGTCTTGCTCAGCACCCCGAGCACATCTCCAGGTGCCATCTCCAGGTGGAAAGCCCCCAGCAGGTCAGCGCACAGCTTCTCGTGTYGTCTGCTGGACCATTCATACTCACCTGGAATACTCGAGACCACTGCCCAGGAGGAATGGTAGAGCTWAGGGAGGTGAGCTGGTAGTAAGTCTTCAAATTTGAAAGGATGGTTTTTGCGTTCACTTTTAAATCTTGAAAAACAGGCCCAGAAGTTACGCTGATAGGTGCCCTGTGTGTGCTTGCAAGATTGCCATCAATACCTTCCTGTTTACAGGAGCAGGGCCCTCCGAGGACCAACATATCTCTTTATCTTGATTGCCTGAGGACAGAATCCTCCAGGATAAGCAAGATAATAGGAACTGAAATAGCTGCAAGTCCCATTAACTCTAACTACCATAAAGCCCAGGTAATACACATTCGAACCAATCATTATTTATAATGACTTCTTAGAATATGATATAATGCCTGAAGCCAAACTCATATTAAAATCAATATGATGTCACGTCAGTAGTGATGTGTCTTTTGGAGAAGGCATGTGAAACTGAAAATGACTGTAGGAGAATATATACATATTTCTGATAACAGGTTTGCAGTACTGCAGTGCAAGGAACATCAGTGTTCATGATCTCATGACAAAACCTTTAAGCTCTGCTCCTATGGTTTGTGATATAACTATAAGCCACTGAAAATGCATTGCTGCTATTAAATCTGTATTTATATTTTTGTATTACTTTGTATTTTGTATTACTTTCAGACTACATTTGCAGGGAAATTTATATAATTTATATAAGTTTATATAATATGTTATATGATATCCATAGCTTGTTCAATTGAAATAAATACTATTTATTTCACAAAATGAGATAAATAGCAGTATTTGCTACATGTAAGAAAGTAGCAATGTTGCCATGTATGCAGTCTCCAGTGAAATACATGTGGACACTATTTTGCAAATACTTGTTTTTGAGTGCTATCCAACTCAGGAACAGTAGCCAAAAAACAAAACAAACAAA